TCTTATAGTCAGTTATTTTCTTAATTCACTTCTAATATTTCATTCACATTCTTTGATGTTTCTGTGTAGCTTTAAATGATGACAAGTCTTGTTACCCTGGCTAGGGCCTCCTGCACATGATTTAGGAGTGGTGGTGATACATTCTTCCCTCCTTTCCTGTTTTTCAGAAAAAGCATTTAATAGTGTATTTCTCTGCAGATGCTTCCTTCTTCAGAAATGTCAAATTCTCAGCAGGGAGATAGCAGCAAATAAAGAAACAACCTTCTTTTGAAATCGGAGCCCTACAAATGCCAGTGCTTTGTTAGTCTGTTTGTTTTCCCTAAATTCAGTCAGCTTTCTTAGTAGTTTTCAGTAAGAGTCATTGGTCAGGAAACACTCCCATCAGCCACTGCTGGAAACACAGCCTACCCCTTTCAAGCAGCACTCTGCTAATATTCACCTGGCTTATTACTAAATAGGATTGGGTCTCAAGAGGAAAACATCAGCTTGATATGATTGCTTGAAAGTATCTCTTCTGTACTATTTTATCCCTGGACATTCTTTGTAGGAATCATTTGAATAATAGGAAAAAATACAATGTTAACTCTTTTTTTCTCCTGGAAATTGAACTCAGGGCCTGTGCACTGAGTGACACCCCTCAGCCCTTTTTGGTTTTATTGTTGTTGTTTGTTTGTTTATTTTTTTTGAGACAAAATCTCACTAAGTTATCCAGGCTGGGCTTGAAACTTGCCATCCTCCTGCCTCAGCCTCCCAGACTACTGGGATTGCAGGTATGTACCCTGACATAGCTAATGTTAACTTCTTAGGAAGAGCTTGGCATAAGCTCATGTCAAGTCTCCTCCATCTTATAAGTAATAATGATTAGAACAGTAAATAATTGTGCTTTAGTAAACTATTATTATATTCTTGTTACACTGTTGGTTATACCAAAAACAATTCTGCAATGAAAAAAAAAAAGTACTGTTAAGTAGTGTTTCATTTTGACATGAGGGGAAGTTAAGGAGCCTTAGAAAAAATAGCTAGTATGCTCTAGGTCATTATAAATGTTTAAGTTATCTTATTGCAGTAAAAGACAAGGTCACAGCTGTAACCTAAGGACCTCCCACTAGGCCCGCCCTCCTAAAGGCATGTTGCACCTCCCAGCAGCTCCATTACACAGAGACTTGCAGGAGACAGGCAAGTCACACTTAGACTGTAGCACTTTGCTTTTTATGATTCTAATTTTATTAATTTTTTAACCAATAAATTAAAACATGCTATGAATGCCACTGCCAAGTGCCATCCAACAGAAAGGTAAGCTGCTCATGAAAACATGGTCTGTCCTCATGCACCCATGAGTCAGAATGACCAAGAAAGGTAAATGCTTTTAATTGATTCAAGACATTGAGGCAGCCACAACAGTGTTAATTAAAGACACCAAAGAAAGAGGACTTCCAGAACTGCTTCAGAAAGTTTGAAAAATAGTGAATAGGTGTGTTTGTAGTGAAAGGTTATCAGACAAAATACCCAATGCCTGAGTTAAAGGGGGAAAGATTTACTTGGCTCACAGCTTGTAGAGCTTTCAGTTCATAGTTGATGACTCCAAAGCAGAGTGGCATGACGGGGGGCATTGGAGACAGAAGGCAGCAAGCAACAAGCAAGGACAGAGTCTTCTCTGTCTCTTTATATTGTATCCAGGCTATCTACCACATTCGGAGCAGTTATCATGCGCACCCAGTGTGGGGTATCTTAATCCTACCCAGAAATATGCCACACCAATCAGTGGACTAAAGCCCCGCCTGTATCCTCCCAAGGCCTTGTGGGGACGTTTAGACACAGACCGTAATGGCAAATATTTTGAGGGGAGTTAATGACAACATTCACTGTGTTTTTCGATCATGCCTATATTTGAATCCAGGCCTGTCAAGCTTTAAAGCCTAAGGTATTTGACCTAACTCTGCCCCTCAGTCATCCTGTATAGCTCTCCAGTGTCCACACCTAAGTCTAGCAGGCAGCCATCCAACCTGTCTGCCCTTTTTGATAGAATCTAGGGCTTTTCTTTTAATATTCTGAACTACAATTGCATTTCAGAAATTTCTGTTAAAGCAAACTGTTGAATTCTTAACCTGGTAAGTAACATTTAGTTTAGTGTTTTTCAGGTATTCCTTGTCCCCACCATCCCTGAGTCTGTGTTGTTTTTGCTGCCTTCTTGGAGACAAATAAACTTCGCCATCTTCAAACAAATGCCACTTTCCATACTGTTCTCTTGCTCTCCATAACCTATTCATTGTCTGCCAGGGTAGTTAACCTTGACTGCACCCGACCCGTCTTGCAGCCTTTTCTTGGACATCTCCTACCCATTGGTCAGTGTCACGAAGACCACAGTATGAGCACTGTGTGCAGAATCCTGAAGGTGGATGGTTTGGTGTTCTTGCATCTTCCTTCTGCTTCCATTTGCATATCCAGTTAACATCATCACTTATGGCCTCCTTCATCTTTAGTTTAATATTCATCTCTTCAGGAAGTAGCCTCTGCAGTGTTTGTGCTATAGTAAAAGATAAAGCATGGGTAATTCCTTACCAGTAAAGCCTCATTTTCTAGCAAAGAAATTCCTCTTTGTTCTCAATAAATACTGGGTAACAGGGTATTTTATATGAATCCTTGTTGATTGTTCTTCTGATTGCTGTGTCTCCCTCTGCAGTTACTCTGGTCCTCACAACAGTACTTGGAACATACTGGGTGTTGGCTAGATGGGTGGGTAACTACAGCATGCCAGCAAGCACCTGTGCATGTGACACCAGCTAATAACTATAAAGGGTGATTTATTCCTGTGCTTATCGTGAACTTAGGCGAAGATTTCATGTATGAGATGAAAAATATACTGCTTTTGTAAAAAAGCTAAAGTGAAGTTATATTTACTTAGGATACTGATTTTATTATCTTTAATTCCTTCTAAAGGCAGTGTATAACTTGGCAATAATGAGAATAAACAGATCTTCATTAATAGCTGTATGAGTTTGGGTTAAGTCACTTACATTTGTAAAATAGTGTTGTACCAAGTATTTAACTGTTGTGATAAATACATGTTACGCTATGAATCAGCAAGGAGTCCGTTGGAAGAAACTTTTTCTCGAGATGCTGACATGCGCCTTACATAATCCCTACTCCCTGCTCTAATAATAGTGTTACTATGTATTTTAATTCATACTTTTCAGCATGAAAATGAATTTCTAGCAAAAGTTTAAAATAAAGATTCCAGTGATTGTGGGAAGTGTTTATCCTGGAGACCAGGATGGGGAGGGCAGGCAGTCATGCAGGTGATGCTAAGGGAAGGGAGGAAGTAGGTGTGTTAGCTGCCTGCCCCAGAAGACAGGATGATGATCCTGAGAGAGCTGCGAGTCTCTTGTGTTTGACATTTGGAGCTCTTATAAAGAGTGTCTTGTCCTTGATGTGGTATTTGATTCTTTGTTGTGGTACTAGGAACTGAACCCAAGGCCTTTGCACCAAGCTACATCCCTAGCTGTTTTTTCATTTTGAGACCATATCTTGCTGAGTTGCCCAGGCTTAGCTTGAGCTTGTGATCCTCCTGCCTCAGCCTCCCAGAATTCTGTGTTGACAGGTGTGTTCAACCACACCAGTGGTTTTGATATCAAAGGATAATGTCCCCTAAACCCAGTCTCAAGGGTTAGTCATCCGAGGATCTGTGACCTGAATGGGTTAGGTCTTGGTGAGCTGACTGCCAAAACTCAGCCTCCATTTAGAGGGCAGGTCACAGGAAGTCTGCAGGGTAGCAGACTTTGGCTGGCTGGTAAGCATCGAGAGGGTAGTAGTGGGCAGTTAGTGAAATAAGTCACCCTCTATGCTAGTCCATATGAAGTGGAAAGGGGAAGGTGTCTCAAAGCAGTTGGCATGATGGGCTCCACAAGTTTGTGACTGTTCAGGTGGGTTAGCAATGCTCATGGGAATGCTGACTGAAGTAACTTCCAGTCCTCAGGGAAGGGGAATGTCATGTGGCAAGGTGAGACTGTGAGCTTGTGTTATCAAGATAGTAGAGTGAAACAGGACAGCATGTAGTGCAGTCAGGGGTTGAAACATGAAGTAGAACCAGGGTGAGCCTGCATGTCTGGATGCTGAGCCCCAAGGTCTAGTGCTAGAGATGCTCAGAGGCTACTGCCTTTAGCACAGGCATTGGGCTTTCTTTTCTATTGGGGTTGACTATACACATGGATTCAGGAGGATCTCATGTGGAAGGGTACTGAATCTGGGGATTATTCACTTGGCTGGCTTCCTCCTGCCAAATCCACACCCTCAAACAGGGTGCCCATTCTTACTCAATTCACAGGTTATCTTTTATAAACGCCCTTTCACTGTTGTATCTTGCCTTCATCCTGACAAGCATGAGGGTAACCTTTAGGAAAAATCACTAGTTATCAACAGCCACATTACCTGACTAACTCTCAGTAAACACACACACACACACACACACACACACACACACACACACACAGAGCTCCATGTTGCCTTTTCTAATCTCATTCCTCTTAGACCTAACACAGTGGCTAGTAATTTTAGTTGGACCTTTTAGTCGCCCTGAAATGCCAGCACTTAACCTAATTTTGACCCCTTCTTCATGAAGACATGATTCTCCATACAGACACAGTTTTGTACTTGCAAATCAACCCTGATTTCTTCTTGAAGCTGTGTATTTCTGTCTGCTGTGCTGTGAGCTCTCATATCTGATACTCATCTCTTTCCTTCTTGTCCTTGCCTCTCCCAGAAGGAAAGTGGATCTCTGAGAAAGGTTCTGTGTTGTTGTGCTTGGCTCCACTCAGCCACATGGGCTCTTGCAGCTGGTTCATAAGCTGCAAGTAGCTGGGACAGCAGCACCGTCAGAGGCCCCGAAGGGAGTTGGATCAATTGTCATCGTATTCATCCATGTCAGTGCTTGCTGTTTCCATCCTTGTATGAACCAAGTGATGTTCAAAGCTATCAGATGGTAACATACTTGTCATACCCTCTAGGCCCCTCACTCAAGATGAGATTGCTCAGAGACGAGAGCGTGCACGACAGAGGCATGCAGAGAAGCTGGCAGCAGCGCAGGGGCAGGGCCCTGTGGAGTCTATCCTGGAAACAAGTCCACAAGAAGAGCCAAGAGGTATTGCCTTCCTAAATAGGCTTGACTGTCCAGTACTGGATGTTTTTGGCTTAAATTGGGACATTCATCCTTTTGCTCTTAAAGCTTTTCACTTGAATGTAGTTTTTATCGATATTTTCATTCTTGGTGTTTGTATCCTGAAACTGGAATAGATATAAAATATTCCCTGATCCCCCTGTGTTTCCAGACAATTTTGGGTCAGTGAGCAGCCTCAGCCCTTACTGTCCTTTTGTTTCTGGCAGATGATGGACAGCAGGTGGAGAATATGGCCCCTAACCCTGCACCCCAGAAGAAAGACAGCCAGGAGTCCTTCATTGCATTTGCTCGTGTGTTCAGTGGTGTAGCTCGAAGAGGAAGGAAAATTTTTGTCTTGGGGCCTAAGTACAGTCCTGTTGAGTTTTTACAACGGGTAAGAGTTGAAAGCAAAATGTTAGTGTATTCCTTTAAGAGTCTGGTGTCTTTTCACATTGGTTGCAATTTGGTGGTGACCTTATTGGTGAGTAGCAGAAAGGCACACTTGAGTGAATCCCTGTATCTGTATTAGTATTGCTTTGGTGACATTTGGATTTGTGTTTCACTTAGTAGCATTTAGGAAACCACAGTGGGCTGAGAACCAATTTTTCTGGCCTTATTTCTTGATAAGCCTTTTCTCTACAAGGCAAGAATCACTTTGTGGATAGAGGAGAGAACTGGTGAGACTGATGTTGTGCTAGAGCTGTGGCAGCAGCAGAACCTCAAGACAAACAGAAATCCAAAGTCTGGATGGCTTAGTCCAAAGGTATGAGAAGCCAGCAGGTGACAGGCAAGTCCCAGAACTCTTGGCCCATGTGCAGGTGGACAGCTGGCATATACAACTGACTGAGCCAGAGGGCAGCAGAGAGCTCACAAGCTGGAGCTGTCTTGTGGCAGTTTTGGACATAAGCAAGATACACGTTGTAATTAAAAAATGAATGTCACAGGATGAGGACGATACCAGTGTTCCAGGTAGCCATTCTGAATCAGCAGGAAGCAGCTTGTCTGTGGGTTTCATAAAATATTGTGTATCACTCAGAGTTTTACTAGAGGAACAGACATAACACAAGATGTACAGATGTATAAGAAATTACAAGATTGGCTTATGACCATCATAAGTCATAAGTCACAAAGTTGGATGAGGAAGCATGAAGAGGGCATCTGCACACAGGAGACTGAAGGCATCAGTCCAGGGTCTGGAGCTTATTGCAGTGTTCGTGCAAGCCTGTATCAGGAGGCTAATGGTCTACAAGGGAAGCCTGATGAGTTTACACCAGAGGGCTGAAGGATCCAAGGCAGAGGCCGAAGAGTCTAAGCTAGAAGCCCAGAGACAATGTCCAAGCTGACTGAAGATGGGAACTCCTCTCAGGAAATGGGATGTTCTACCCTTTCTTCGTTCCTTTTTGTATCCTTTAAATGGTGAGACACTCCAGGGTGGGGCCTCTACACCCTGGGGTGTGGAATTGTTGAGCTGATTTAGTTAAGCTTCTATCTTTTTATTTTAGGGAAGGGCCTACAGGGTGTTCAGGGTCTCACTACTAGATTGGACTCATAGTGATCGCCTGTTCACAGCCTCCCAAGAGCTGAGATTACAGGTGCACACCACCACGCCCAGTCTCAGTTGCTGTCTCAGTGTGCCCTTGGGGCGGGGTTGGTGTGGCAGGCCTAGGGAATCCAACCCCTGACCCCTGTGCCTGCTTGCACGTGCTTTAATCCACTGAGCTATTTGGCCAGCTCTAACTTCTCAAGTCGACACACTGTGTCAACCATTACATTGGGAACAGAAAACACCCCCTCCTCCCTGCACAAGTGAGGCAAAAATGTGCAGGGCAGCTGCAAGGAGGAGTAGGTGCTGTGGGGAAAATCCCTTGTCACAGACACTTACTGGGTCAGTTTTTGAGGTTGAGTCTACTGAGAGTGCATTGCTATTTGGTGATCAAGCAGTTCTTGCTAGACTTGGTAGGTTACACTTGATGGGAGGCTGCAGGTGCCACAATGACACATATAGAACACCAGCTGTGGTTATCCTGACATCTTGGCCTGGACATAATTGACCGTTTGTGATTAATCAGTAGAAGTGTCTGTCTCCCTCCCTTCATTCATCTGTCCATCCGTCTGTCTCTTATGTGAACTATCAAACAGCTAAGCAGTTAAGCAGTTAGAGAAATGTAAATGGAGTGGCCTTTGTAGCTTCCATGAGCCCTCCAGTTCACCTCCTTTGCATTGTCTTTGGCTCTGAGGAGGCTGCAGGTCGGAATCAACTGCTGGTGGTGAAGATGACCAAAAATAATAATAACAAAAGGTATTGACAGCAGCCCTGTGCAACCTAGTCCCATCCACTTCTTTAAATCATGTGAAATGTTTCAGACTGGCCCCAGAAGTAAGTCCTACCTGAACTTTCTGCTTATCCTTTGTATTACTGTTGCTTCATATTATTGAGGCCATGCATTTGATCAGCTGAAGTATATGTTGTATCATCTCACAGTATCTGTGAGTTAGGACAAGGCAGAGCTGGGTCTCCTCACCCTTTCACAAAGCTACCATTGGGAAGTTGGCTGCCTGCACCTAAATCTGGAGGACGGGAAAGCACAGTTTTCTTAGTTTTCTTCTGTTACCTGCCCTTGCCTCCTTGAGGCTGCCCACACTGCTGCTTCTGTGGACTTTCTCAGCTTGGAGTTCTGCTGGATCGAGCCTTCGAGACTTTAGAATGAGTCTGCTCACATGGAGACTTTAGAATGAGTCTGCTCACAAGCCAGAGTCTTTTTTTTTCTTTTTTTTAAATATATTTAGTACAGGGTCTCACTACACAGATCAGGCTCAGCGTGATCCTGTTTTCAACCTTCCAAACACTGGGGTTACAGGCATGCACTATCACACCCAGTCTCAGTCACTGTCTCAGTTTCCCCCGGGGGTATGGCTGGCACAACCCATGGAGATTGAGCCCCATCCCTGCATCTGCCTAAGCAAGCTTTAATTAGCTGAGCTATCTGGCCTGCCCACAGAGTCTTATAAGAAGTTCTGTCATCATGGAGTGACTTTCTTTGCCTTTGCTCTATTTTGTTGTGTGGAGGAAAGTCTCATAGCTCCTACTTACATTCATGTATGGCCACCAGGCAGCAAGAGTCAGGGGAAGGCACTTGTGTTTTGTCTGTGACATTTTCTCTTGTTTGCTTTGCTTTGCTTTGTAGTTTTATAACCTATGTACATTCATTTCTAGAGAATATTGTTATATTTACTTGCTTTTGACGATTGTATAAGTGCAATTTTATCATTGTTCTGCACCTCGCTGTTTATACATAACATTGTGAAATCAGTCTATATTAACGCCTCCTTCTGTAACTTATCCATTGTTCGCTGCTGCATTATGTTCTGTTGTAAAACCATTTTGTGTGTACCTTTTTCCTGTCATTGCATATTTGAGCTGCTTTCACTTTTGCTGTACAAGTGCTAACTTGAATAGTTTTGCACACGGTTTCTTGAGCACATTTGCAAGACATTATAGGGAATAGACTTAGAATAGAGTTGCCTGGGTAGTCTTTAGTTTAACTGGGTAACTCTTAAGTAGCACTCCAGGGTCATTCTGATTTACAGTTTCTGCTGTTGATTTTTTTTTTTTCTGGTGTTTTTAATTCAGTATACCTCAGTAAACAGCATGTGAATGAGTTGGTTGCTGTTAATTACAATAGCTCTATTTCAAACATGTGGATTTATGTGGAGATTGTATTTCTGAAGAGTTCGCACAACTCAACCAAAATTGGGTATTGTTAGACTTTTAATTTTGCCAGTCTGATGAATGTGATGCAGTGTGTTGTCATAGTTAATTTACATGTTATTTAGTGTTCGCTGATCAATCTTACTTTCTATTGTGAACATATCACTTTGGGTCATTTTCTTATTTTTTTTTTTCTGTGCTACTTGAAACACTAGTTTTAAATGTCATTGGCGTGTTCTAAATACTACTTGCTTGTCAATTTTAACTTTTGCAGATTTCCTTTTCCAGTTTGAGACTTGTCTTCATGCTGTATTTGCTACTTTTTTTTTTTTTTAATATATTTAGTATAGGGTCTCACTACACAGCTCAGACTCATAGTGATCCTCCTGTTTTCAGCCTCCCAAGCACTGAGATTACAGGCATGCGCCACCATGCTCCATCTCTTTTGCTGTCTTAGAGTGCCGCAGGGGTGGGGCAGGCACGGCACGCCAGGATCGAACCCCAGCCCCTGCATCTGCCTAAGCAGGCACTTTAATATCCACTGAGCTGTCTGGCTGGCCCTATTTGCTACTATTTGATGGATGTAAATATTAATGTGGTTGAATTAATCTCTTTATAGGGTTTGTTTTTCATAATTTAAGAAAATTACAACTAGGAGTATATTGAAATTGTAAAACTTTGTGACATTTCCTCTTCAAGTTATTGTTTTGCTTTTCGTATTGAAACATTTAACCTCATATATGTGGCTTGAAAGGAATTGATTTCTCTTGTTTTATACACAACACAAATAACTTTTTTCAGCATTGTTGATCAGTCTTTACTAATCTGCTTTGTCAACTTCATCATAAATCCAATTCACATGTATATGGGTTGGGTTTGTTTTTGGACTATTAGATTTGTCCCCTTCTTTCCTTTATCTGTCACTGCCTAGTCAGTGTTGTCTTTATCTCTAAATGTCTTGTCATCTAAAAGGCCAAATCCCTCTACCTTTTCTTTGTGTTTTATTTATTCCTGACTGGTTGCTGTTCTGTGTTAAATTTACAGTGAGCTTAAAACTCTGTTAAGATTTTCATGGAAAATATTTGAAATTATTACATTTATTTGGTGTGAATCAGTGGTTCCTAGTGTAGTGTTTTTGATCCCTGAATTTGTTAGGCTTGTACATTTACTTAGGTCATTTTTAATCGAAGTTTTTCACGTGAGTTTTAGAGTTTTCTTTTATAAAGGTTTTCGATCACTTTTGTTAGATTTATTCATAACTTATATTTTAGTCCTGTTTTTAAAATGTATTTTCTGTCCATTGCTGACCTGTAGAAATATTAATGTATATGTCTTTTTTTTTT